ATATATATATATATATATATATATTTATTTGACGTGTTGGTTTTACCTTTGTTCTGTTTTAGTGACCCATCTTTTTCTTTTTCTTCTTTACATTTTTCTTTGCAGTTACTGCATGTTTCTCTTCTTTACTTTATTTTCTTCCTTTTCGTCGTACACAAATATTGGAAGAAAAAGATGATGATGATGCTGCTGATGGCGAGCAATATTCCCATCTCGGAGGCATCTCATTTAAGCTCAATGTTTTTTTCTTCCCTCTTTTTTTTTTGTTTTTTTCCCCCTCCCCTCTTTCTCTTTCTCTTTTTCTCTTGCTCGCTTTTTTTCCACTTTTTTTCTCTTCTTTTCTATATATCTCTTTCTTTCTTAGACACACTCTTTCTTTCACCTTCTTTTTTTCTTTCTATCTGTGTATATGTGCTCTTTTGGAGAGAACCTTTCTTTTTCCCTTGTAGCAACAACAACAACAACGACAAAGAATACAATGGGGCTGCTCTATTCGCAGTCTTCTTTTTTTTTTTGTTGTTCTTTTCTGTTCTTCCTTTTTTTCCCCCATTTTTCTCTCTTTTCTTTTCCCTTCACTGCAATATTATTATTGTATTCTCTTTGATTCTCCCTTCCTGTGTATTTTGCGCGTATATGCATACATACATACATACGTACGTGCACCTTTATACATTATTATTATTATTATTATTGTTATCATCATAAGGACAGGAAAGAACAAGAAATAAAAGAAAAGAAGATCCCCCGCTGGCAGGTAAGTGCAATGTGCATGGAAGAAAGATGAGGAGAGCACGTCTTCCGCCCCGTGGTGATACGCGTTTTTTTTTTTTTGGTGTTTATTTCTCTGTTTATTTCTCTGTCGGAGTTTTTTTTGACAAATATGAACCAAAGATAAAAAGAAAAAAAGAAGAAAAAAAGAAAAAAAAAAGAAATAGAGTCTACTCACCCCCCTCACGCGAATTACATGACCAAAAAAAAAAACAAAAAAAAAAACCAAAAAAAAAAAAAAAAAACGAGTCAACAACAATGAAAACGCCAAAAAAGCAAATCAAAAAAAAAAAAAAAAACTCACTATACTGTTTGTTTCTGTGATATTAAAAGAAAGACAACTCATTCTGATGATTTCTCTCTATCTTTTTTTTTTCTTCTTTTCTTTTTGCTTTTTTACTTCTTGTGTTAACTTAGGAGCGTGCTCGTGGCGTTTAGAGGGTATTGGGACGAGCAGCCCGAGAAGGTTCAGTTAAGAAGAGATTGGGTAGAATAAACAGAGAATAAAAGAAAGAAGGCCTGGATTTTGGATTCTCATTCTTCTTATTGTTATTTTTATTTTATTATTATTATTATTAGGGTCTGCACTGACCTTTTCCCATTTTCTCTTCATAGACTTCACTTTCTTTTTGGGTGCATATATATATATATATATATATATATATATATATATATATATATCATTTTATTGTATATTACCCATACCCATATACATAAAGCAGTTTTTTTTTTGGTTTATATAAATATATAAATATATATATTTATTTATCACAGCTCTGGACTCCCCCGCCCCCTTTTAGTAAGGAAGGGGATCATTAGACACGAAGAGTGCAGGTGTGTGAGATAATGGGTTGGAGAGATCAACATACACCGCGTGGACGTTCTGCAGAGGTTGAGGACTCTATTCAGTATCTACGGCGATATTTGGGAGAAGAACAGGAAGAAGAGGAGAATATAGAGGGATCCGCACAACGGCGAGGTATGACCTCATCGCGTGGGAAAAGCGATCATAAAGTGGCTACGGGTGTACTCCCAACCTCAGCAGTTTCTGGCGATTGGCGAACAAAAGGGGTATCTATGGGAGTGGCAACAGCACCAACAAGATCAACAGCAATAACAACAACAACAACAACAACAACAGTAAATAATAGTTTAACTGGTGGTAATCCCTCGTGGGGAAGTGCTTCATCCACACCACGCAGACGTCATTCTTTAGGCGATCGTGGAAACGGTAGTAGTGGAGTTTCACCAGGGAGTGATGGGGATTATGTGTATGGTGGATCTTCATTAAGAAATGATAGGAGTTCTTTGCGAGGAGAAAAGTATTCATCCACGCGTGATCGCAGTGCTCGTGATATGGTATCACCTGTGAGAGAACCATTAAGACTGCGTTATGGCTCTTCCGCCCAAACTCCCGTTGGTCGACCGCCTTTACATCAACAGAGACAACAAGAACAACAACGACAAAAAGAAGAAGAAGAAGAAGAAGAGGAAGAACGACAAACTGGAAGTTTAACTAGAAGAGGGAACATGACGGGATGGAGGGAGGATGATAATAACTCCTTACGCCGTGAGATTAGATCTACAAAGGACTGGGAGCGACGTTCGAAGGACTCTCACTGGACAAATCGTGATAACTATGGGAATCGATTGAGAGAAGTTTATAATGATCCTTACGATAATTCATCTTCGAATAACCAACATCGCCCTCGACGCTACTCAAGTGATAAAAGTACTCTAGATGACTACACAGAGGATGAGGAAAGGCAAACCTTTTCTGCGAATGAACGTGTTATGACACCAAGAAGAGGAACTGAGAATGGAATTTCTCAGAGAACAAATGGTCATTCTTCAGGAAAACGAACGATAACTACAGAAGGAGTTACAAGTATTAGTCCTAGAGGTGGTGGTAATAGTAATAAGAATAATAATGGTAATGGTATGAGTATGGGCGATGATGGTGATATTGGTTCAGTAAGTCTCACTAAACAGCCAAATGCTTTAAAAAAGAAGGAGTTAACATCTTTAGAAAAACACGACATGAGTACTTACTCATCACGAGATGTATTCCCATATCCAATACATGATGATAACATGCGATCCATTATTTTTTACTTAAAGAACCATTATGCTTTAGAGGAAGAAGAATATCTACGAGGTATTCAAACCATGACTCCAGAAGATGTACTTGGGCTTATACAATGTTTCTACGTGGATGTCTATCGAACAATTCGACATGCTCGAGATGTCGCCGGTGTTGGACGTGCGGGTTTCATGGATAAAGATCCGGATGTGGATACTGTGCTGATTTCCAACAACTCTCCAGAGATGGAATCACATGTTCACCACAGACAACAACAACAACAAGGAGGACGATTAGAGACAAATAGTGAGATGGAAGAGAGACGAGAGTTGCGGCGTCCACCTCCTGAAGTTCCATCCACACCACCACCAGCACCAACAACAACAACAACAACAACAACAACAACAACAGCAGCAGTAAATACAAATACAAATACAAGAACAATGCAAAGTATGAAGTTGCCGGATGCCGCACACCGTTCACCCCCGCATTATCACGTCCAACCACAATCATTATCATCACCACCACATCAACATCAACAACAACAACAATATCAACAACATCAGTTACGATATCCGGAAGGTATGCCGATAGATACAATGCGGCCAGCTCGGACATCATCTCATTCTGTACATTGGGATCACACAACGTCTGCGCCTCCCACATATGAAGTGGCGAACAGCAGTCAACACACTCTCGACACTGTGTCGCTCTCACTGGAGCCGCCAATGGAGCCACGCAGTGGAATTGTAAAGCGGCCACTGCGAAGACTGATGCCTCTGCTGCGCCGCGGCTCTACATTATGCAAACATGTTGCTGGTGGCCGTCCACATCTGCGTTTTTTCCGCATAGAGGATCAACTCGGCGAGGACCGCAGTGGGCAAGAAGCCGTAATGCCACACTTTGTATGGTATACCAACGCCCCACACAATGCTGATCTTCATGATGATCAATCATCACAATCCCACCAATATGAACATCATAATAATAAAAATAATAATAGTAATAATAAGCGACCTAACGAGGCGCTTAGTTTACCAAGTTTAATTGGTGTTCATCTTTTAAGTGCTGGAGATTCTACGAGTGACTCCATGCGGCGTCTCTTTCGCCGTTCGAAGGGTGTTGTGGTGGACCATCAACGTCGTTCAGTGGCGGAGGGGATGTGTGCAGTCTTTCGCTTTGAGCAGCGCGATGTTGCGGTCTCTTTTCTCACGGAGGCCGATCGTCAATTATGGGTGGGCGGCATGATGGGAGTGGTGGAGCGCAACAGAGAACTCGCTACACAACTCTAAAGTAAACAGGTGGGCGCAGGTTGTAATTTTGAGTGGGCTTGTATATATATTATATATATATATATATATATATATATATATATAAATTTGTTTCTGTGTCTCTGTCTCTGTCTTTGGGCGTGTATATATGAAGAGCAGTGACTAGATTTTTCTTTGTGTTTTTTTTTTTTTTTTTTTAGAGAGAGAGAGAAGTGTTTGTTTGTGTTTGTGTTTGTATGTGTCTTTGTAAGAGGAGAAGAAAAGAGAGATCTGGACGTGGTATTCTGATCTTGCAGTGAGTGAAGTATATATATATATATATATATATGTGTATATGTACATCTACATATATACATACGTATACACAAATGAAAAATAAAGTTATGAATTTATCAATGAACTAATTGCTTTCTAAAAAAACTATATATATGTATACATCTCTTATTATTTATTTGGAATCTGTTCACTTGCATTCTTTTTTCTTTCTTTTCTTTTTCTTCTATACTTCTAGCGATTAGTCTTTTTTTTTTTTCTCTTTCTTTCCTTTATTTTCGTATAGGAAAGGATCGTTTTTTTTTCTTTTTTGTTTTTTTTTAGTCTTTTGTTTTATTCGCATACGTGTCTGTTTTGCTGACATCGACGTTTTTTTATTTATTGTTTTCTTTCTTTCTTTTTTTCGCTGTGTTTGTGTGTACGTGGAATTCAGCACGTAGACTCCCTCTCGAGAGACAACTGAGACTGTAAACGCACGGCCCTAATATTAAAAAAAAAATAAAATAAAATTATCATTCACAAACCAGTTTTGCTCTGGGCATTGCGTTATCATCTTTATTGTTTCTATAATTGCTTGCAGTTATATAGGGAAAAAAGTAAAAGAAAAAAAAAAGAAGCCAAGAAAAGAATAGGGGAACTCTCTTTCTTTCTGGTTTTTTTTTTTGAATATATATATATATATATATATATATATATATATATATATATATATATAGTCTCTTTTCTTTCTCATTTGCTTCTGTGTAAGTGAGTGAGTGTTTGTGTAATTTCTCTACATCCTGTATCGAGAAAAGGGAGAAAGAGAGAGAAATAAAAAGAGAAAGGAAAGGCGTCTGTTTTCACCAATTGTGTTTGTCCACATAGGTACAGTATATATATATATATATATACATATATATATATATATATACAGAAGTGAGAACGCTTTGAACTGTGGGTGGAACCAGCGGCAATCAAAGGAGAGACGAGGTGAAAAGAGAATCTGTGTTCCCTTGTATACATCTCTCTCTCTCTCTCTCTTTATTTTAGAAGTGAAGTGTTAAAGAGAAGATATCTTTCTTTTTCTTTTGTTTGTTTGTTTGGTTCTTAGAGTGAGTAACGGAGTGAGTGGATTGAGTGAGAGGGAGTTGATTGAGTGTGTGTGTCTGTTTGTGTGTCTGTCTGTCTGGGAGACTCTGTACGTGCATCTTTCGGAATTCAGCAAAAAATAAAAAAAAAAAACAAAAACAAATAAACAGACAATAAGAAGAACAGACACCAAAAGGCTCTATAAAGGAGAATCCATAAAAACAAAATACAGATATAGCCACAATCAATCTATATCAACAAGAGAAATAATACCCACGTGCGAGAGAAGAAGAAGAAGAAAAGAAGAAAAAAAAAGATAAAGGCACAACAACAGCGAAACCAAAAACAAAACAAGAAAACAAATAAAACAGTATATATATATATATATATATATATATAAAAGAAAACTACCCACAGAAAATACTGAAATAAGAAGAAGAAAAGAAAAGGAAAAAAAAAGGAACAAATTGTCACATTACCAAACAAGCAGATCGAAAAAAAAAAAAAAATAATTATTATCAGTTGATGTCAATTCTCAGTTCACTGACGGCCCCACTTCTGCTTCGCAGAAGGCGTAGAGTTGATGCCGCCACGTTGGATGAAAAGAATGAGAACGAAAAGAAAAGAGAACCCGTCGTACGTTGTTCCTCACCCACTGAATTTATGCGTAAAGTACAGGCAGCAGGAGTACCCACCCCACCAAAGAAGAATACTAATAATACTAATAGGAACAACAAGAAGAAGAGCAAGAATAATGATAAAAGTTCCGAATGTGAGGACGGCGAGTCGCCAATTATTACCCAAATCAAAAGCAATCCCCACCGTATTCTCCGCTTCACAGAAAAATGGACCTTTGCCTCATCGCCTTTCCCTGATGATAATGATAATAATAATGATGATAATAAGGGTTGGTCTGCTATGACAACCAATCGTCTGGATCACGTACTGCAAACATGGAGTAGGCTCACAACGCATTTAGTATCTCCACACTTACATGGAAGTGCTGCTGTCTCTTTTTTCCCAACAAAACTTCCAAAATGTATTGCCTCATCCGCAAGTAAATGTAGTGACAGTATTTTCTATGAAGTTCGGGCACATATTCCTATTCGTCTTCTTCACCAACCACTACCAGATCCAGATACCGCAGATATATCAGGTGTTGTTCCCGATACCCTTGCAGAGTTTGTGAGTTCAAACCGTATGTACGCACGCCGACTACGTGCACTCATGCATGATGCAGTTCTTAGTTTCATGTCTAGCGCATCTCATGCAGCTCCACCAACTAAATTATGGCGATGTAATGGAACGATGTTGCGAGAAACATCTTGTGTCTCCATTGGCGGCACATCACCCATAGAAGAAGAAGAAGAGGAGGAGGAAGAAGAAGATATGGAAGAGAGGAATGGTAGAGAAGATGATGATGATGAAGAAGTGGAGGAGACTATATCAAATGTTTGCTGCCACTGTAGTAAACTGAATATAAAGGCGATGCATCAACTTCTCTCACCATCTCTTTACGCATTAGCCCCACCAAATCCGATTGTCTTAACGGTGAGAGTAGTGGACCACAGCAGTTGTGGCTGTAGTGATGATATAGCACCATTACTAGGTGTGGGAACTAAAAATACTACCAACACTACTACTAACACTGCTAACACTATTAAAACCACAAAAACAACAAAAAAGAAAGAAGCCGGAGAAAATATAGAAATGGAGGCACAAGATGTTACATTGCTGGTCCATGTTGTGGCGCGTGTTTCGCGTGTCCACGGGGATGAATCCCAATCCCCATCTCCATCTCCATCTCAACATCAACAGTGGGATGCGGCCGCTGTTGCCTTCGAGGTCCTCACCGGACTGTTCCCCGAGCGGTTTATTCTCCACGGGGCGAATGCCGTGGCGGTGGGCGAAGTTCTCCCCGACGGCCGCCTCGCCGCGTTGAGTTCATTCACGACGGCGGAGTTGACGGCGGCGCGCTGCCGAATGCGGGATGCCCGCGTGTGGTTGCCGCCGCAGACGCCGCCGCTGCCGATTTCTCTCTCCCCGTCGCCGTCGCTGCTGCCGTCGCCCGCCTCCCTGCCGCCCTCCTTCGCCAGCCACACCGGCACAACGGCGCCCATAGCCACAGGCACCATCACACCGAGCAGAGGAGGAAACACAACAGCAACCACCACAACCACAACGGGGATGCGGGTACAACACGATCCATACAGTTTTGTCGCGTGGACGCCAACAGACGATGACCCCGAACAACAGACGTTAGATGAACAGGAAGAACAAGGAGAAGAACAAGGAGAAGAACAACTGCCAGGGAGTACAGAAGAGGCAACAAGTCTAACAGACGACAGGGCGAGCAGCCATGAGGAAGCGGATATGTTCACACGGCATGCGGAGAATAAGAAGAAGGGAGATGTAGATGTCTCACATGATACCGCACAGGGAACAAGTACACAGGCAACCACAACCCCCACAGTGAGGGATGATACAGAGGAAGTGGAAGAGGCATTAAATCAAGTACGCAAGGAACACGAAGAAGAAGAAGAGGAAGAAGAGGAATTGGATATTCAGAACACCAAGAAGAAGATTCTATCGATTTGTGAAGAGATTGCAACAGCACGAATACAATGGATAGAGGAACAACAGAAACTGGAAGATCAATTGAGTGCCCTATTACTGCAGAGTATGGGGATGGAGGAGTCCTCACTGATAACAGCAACATCAACATCCACAACGACTGCCTTGCGGCGTAAAAAGAATAAATCGGGAAAACACAACACTAATATTACTACTGGTAGTGATACGGAGGCTGTAGAACGGATCTGCGGACTTCTCGGTATCTCTTCTATACTTGAATATGGTAGTGGTAATGGAAATAACAATAATGGCAGTGGTGCTAATAATAATAATAGTAATAGTAGTGGTGATGTATTATTGCAACAGGCACTCATAACACATGTGATCAAGAACTCTTCACGGAATAACACTTATAATGATATGGACGAGTGTGTTAAGGATGCGTCGGAGATTATTCAAAAACTTGAGAGCCGACTACGGGCGAAGGCATTACGGGTACAGTATATTCAAAACATGAGTAGAAGGCCATTAAATGGAGGGGTTGCTGCAAAGAGCAGCCGAAAGAAAAAGAATGACATCCCACTCTTCGCAGCTGTCGCAAAGGGAATTCTGCAGGATCGCCAACGGCATACTGGTGCCTTATCAAGAAAGAAAGAAGATGATATTGGAAACAGTAACCATCACAACATTATTATTAATAATACTAATAATAATAATACTATTAATAGCCACCTTAACAACAGTGGAGAGAGTATTGTATTACAGTGTACAAAATCTGGATGTATGGAGGCGCATCGAAGTATAGATGCGGCGTGTGAAAAGTTACGAGCCGCCGCCGTGTGGAGTCAAGAATGTGCAGAACAACTGCAGTGCGTGCGACTCATATGTGAAGAGGTGTTATTACCATATCTGCAGAACCGCATATCTCTGGAGAAGACAGAGGAGAAGGAACGGGCACAACTCCAAGTGGAGTACACCGTCTCTAGTGCTATACTGTGGGAGGCACAAAGCACAAGAAGGAGTAAAGTAGAGGAGAAGGAAGTGATGATGGGAATAGCAAAGAAGAAACGTACGGCCGGGCGTCCAACAAATAGAAATATTACTACTACTAATACTACTACTATTAATAAGAAGAATAAGAATAATAAAAATAATGATATTAGTAGTATTAATAGTAGTATTAGTAGTAGAAGTAGTAGTATTAGTAATAATGATAATGATAATGAGGAGGAAGAAGAAGAATATGAAGAAAATGGAACTAGCGATACTCTACGAGAGAGAAGCGGCGATACGGTAGAGAGCCGAACTCAACCAAATCGTCCACATCGCACAGAAACCAATAATACTAATAATAACACTACCAATACTGCTAATACTAATAATAATACTAATACTACCGTAAGTGTACAGAAGCGAAAAGGGAAGACTGGTGGTTCAATGGGTACACCGCAGTCCACAGCCCTTGCAGACTCCCCAATAGAAACAACAACAAAAGGTCGAGTGAGTGGAGGTGGTGGTGTGTTGGGTGGAGGAAAGAAGAAGACTGGAGTGAATGTAGAGCCCAGACGTGCATTGCTGCGGGAACGAGATGCATTGCAACGTAAAACTTTTCTTCTTTTTGTGGTATTCTGTTTAATTGCGGCATTGTTGTTTTTCTTCCTATAGGGAGAGGGACTTTCATTATATTGATTATTTGTTTTTTTCTTTTTCTTCTTTTTGCTTGTTACCTTTATTCTTCTTCTTATTCTTGTTATGATTAGTGGTTGTTGTTCCTTTTATTATTATTATTATTATTATTACTACTACTACTACTGTTATTATTCCTGTATATGCTTGAGGTACATGTGTATGTGTGTGTGAGTGTGTCTCTGTTTCTTATCCTTAATTTGCAATTAGGGCCAATAATCATAATAATCATAATAGTAATAATAATAAAATAATAATAATAATAATAATAATAATAATAATAATAATAATAATAATAATAATTATAATAATAATCCTAATACCAATCCTATTACTACTAGTAATAGTAAAAGGAATGCTAATGGAAAGAAAAAGGAAGAATGAGAAGTGTGTGTATGTGAATGAAGAGAGAAGAGTGTAGAGAAGAGAAGAAAACAAGAGAAGATAATATGGGGATTCCAAATAGTAAGATAAAATGTATTGCTTTCGGGATGGTGAAGCAGAAAGAAAAGAAAAAAACAATAATGAAAAGAAAAAAAAAAAGTAGAAAGTAATAAAAGAAAAAGGATAAAATAAGAGTTTACCTGAGTTAAAAAGAGAGAAATATTACACATGAAAAGAGCGAGAGTGGGGGAAATTAAAA